TGATTTAAGCTCTTTTCAATGACACAAGAATGAGATCTGTAGCTTATGTGGCTTTCAACTCTTATTTTCTAAAATGTTTTGAAGGTTTTAAAAAAGATCTCGAAAATTTTCCTCGAGAATTCTTTCAAAATTGTTTTACAACGCCAGCTCATGTGGTACTACAATGGGTTCAAGCTTGAACTCTCATAAATCAAATGTTAGAGAATATTTTTCCAAAGGTCAGGAACATAAATAATACTCTTTCAAAATATTCCAATTTTATTAACTTGAGATGCTTCACGAGGGCTCTGGCATGCTGAGGTACCTCTAGTCATCTATTTCTGTGAGGAAACATCAGTTTAAGTTGAGAGACGTCTCATTCGAAACAGGACTATTTATTGTATGTTGGTGACCTTCGGAAAAATGTTTTTTAACATCTGATTTATGAGAACTCAAAGTTGGACCACTCGTAGTGATACATACGCTGTCTTTGGAAAAATGTTTTGAAAGAATTCTGAGGGAAAATTTTGCAGAAAATCCTTGGTAAAGACTGGATTTTTTAAAGCATTGTGTACGTTCCAGAGTCCCTAAGCTGTGATCCAAGCAAGATGAAGGCTTGATTCTTACGTCACTCGACAGATCCAGAAATAAGCTTTATTTTGAGCATAATTAAGTCTATATTCTTTTAATATTTAACACTCAATACAAAAAGCAAGCCGTTTTTCCATTGCCTTCAAACGCTCTAGCCGGGTGGTTTCGCAAGTTGGAATATTGAAATTTTTTTCCTATAGAAGCTTTTGATGCTTTATCGAATGACCTAACTGGAGTTTAAAAAATAATAATTATGAGAAAAATTGCGCTGTTCTCAAGGCTAGTTTTTGGGAAGCAGCTGCTGCGACAGCCATGCACCATGGCTTTTAGTGCACAAAAATATCGACTCCTGCATAACCCGATATGCCTCACAGATTGAAGTAGTCACATATTGTCGACTTTTAGTCGATGTATATGCTGGAGGAGCTGCATGGAAGTATTCTCCTCTGATTGTGTTGGAAAAGATACACTCGCGTTGTTTCCTCTTGCAACAGCACAAGCTTCTCAGTATGCGGAGAAAATTTTTAAATCAAGTGTGCACTTTATTGCGTGCTGTCTTAGTATGCCGTACAAGCATTGAAAAACATACGAATAGTTGTAGCCTTAAACCAGGAAGAATATTTTATCGTCAAATATCAAAATGCTCTTGATCAAGAATTTCGGTTAGATAATTTTAATAAGCTTAAAAAGTCGCGGTTTAAAGATACAATAGCAGCTTCTTTCCTACTTCGTGGAAGAACAAAACTTCTTCTCTTTCTGATACACCGACATTTTCGCGAAGACTTATTCATCGGAAAAGAAGAACAAATGAGCCTGGTTTTGTATTTTATATATCGTGTTTTGAAACCTGAGTGAAGCTATGTGGTGAATAGTCATTATGTGATACAGTTACAGATATACAGTTTCGCATCATGACAATATGTTTTGTCTGAAACTACTTTTCGAACTCACTCTCACACTGCCCACGCTGTCACCTCCCGCGACACACTGCGAAAAATAGCCAGATGTGTACTTTAAAAAATTCGTGGAAGAGCCGGGGTTTTGTTCGCGGAAAGGTCCTGTCACGGGTTCTGCACTGCTATAAAAATTCCGATTATATACAAACCAATACTGGTAAACAGTGAGCTTCAGCTTATTGTGCACCAAAGAGAAAACTGTGACACACGATAAGCAATGAAACTGGGTATCTGTAACTGTATCACATAATGACTATTCACCGCATAACTTCAGTCAAGTTTGAAAACATGATATGCAAAATACAAAACCAAGCTGATTTATTCTTCTTTTCCAATAAATAAGTCTTCGCAGTAATGTCGTGCGTGGAAATGTCGTGTCACGACTTTTAAGACGAAATAGTTCTCATGTATATTAATGCGATTTTTTAGAAAACAAATATGCACACTTCATATACAAGCATTAGGAGCAGCATTTTCTAATTCTACTGTATACTTTATGCATGCAGTTTGTTTTGGTTATGGAAGCAAGCTTGTTCAAAACGGCGAAATGCAATTTTACTCTGTATTTCGGCAAGAAAATCGGACATATACACAAAGTACCTAAGATTGTCGAAATAACGTTTTAGCATATTTATTGTTGTATTCTATGCTGCTCTATCCGTTGGATGAAGCACTGGCATGATTCCAGACTACTCCAGGGGTAAAGCTGCCGCTCTTCGAATAATGGAATTAAATAAACGAAAGTCAGCGATTAATCCAAATGATGATAATGGAATTACACTAGTAAGCCATTCTTCACTATAGCCTGTAATAATTCTGCTGAATAATACCTAACTTTTCAGGCAAAAGTACATGGAAATCTTGGATTCAAAAATATAAAAATAAAATAATATATAAAAATTCTCGAGGAAAATTTTCGAGATCTTTTTTAAAACCTTCAAAACATTTTAGAAAATAAGAGTTGAAAGCCACATAAGCTACAGATCTCATTCTTGTGTCATTGAAAAGAGCTTAAATCAGGCTTCGTTTTGATTATAAACAAATCTATGTTCCATAATTTCTTGACCGTATGGAAAGCAATTTAAAAAAAAATTGTTTCCTATTATTTTCCTCAGCATGTTTCAATCGTTCCCATTTAGCTAGTTTCAGAGTTGGAACGATTAAAACTTTCTCCCATATACAACTTTTCGAGTTCTATCGGATGCCCGAATCAGACCTTTTAAAGATAATTATTTCAAACAAAAAACCACCGATCTCTAGTAGGACTTAACCCTTAAACCACCACCACCTCCGTGGTTCATGACTTTTGGTGCACAAAAATATCGACTCCTAAATAACCCAATATGGCCCACAAACTGAAGTAGTCAATATTGTCAACTTTTAGTCGATGTATATGCTGGAGAAGCTGCGTGGAAGCACCTAATAGATAAATGAAATCAAATCTCAAGATTTGTAGTAGATTTGTAACCAAGTGGTTATATGACATCTACGGCGAACAAAAAAGTTTACCTGGCCACCTTTCTCTGCAAAAGAGTCACCGAATTTTGTCTGACCAGCTCGCCCTTGCTTCTGACCTTGGAGCATTCCAGAAAACGCCTAGGCGGGAACAAAACACAGAAGAACTAGTGTTAGTTTATACCCAGAGATGAAACCAATAACTATAACAGTAATAGTAGCTCCAACTGCTTGTAATATAATTCCAATTCTAGTGGCAGTTAAATCCTACAAAGTCGTAATAATGGGCGTAATATGAGGACAGTTAACTGACAAAGGTTTTTTTAACATGCCTTCAATGCACTTGCATCAAATTGCAATCGCGTAACTAATGCACCTACACTGTTTGTCTCGATATCAAACTATCCAATTTCTTGACGAAGTATAGCTCCAAATGTTAGTTTTCTCATTCTCATGATCAATTCTTCATCACTCTTTGCAAACGTTATACTGCTTACAAACAGACAAACAGCTCCAATAAAACCAATGAAAAAAATCAAAATCGTATAAATGCGCGCATCATGCTCTTGTCTATGTAGATTCGGATCGGCGAATAACTTCAAAATTTCTGAAAATATTAAAGCGAAAGCGGGTTGGATTGATCCGAATATGTGACACCATGGCACCAATTACGATATAGTACCAAAGCTAGGGCGACCAAAACTGAGCTTCGTTAAAAATATCGCCCAACTGATATGCAGCACACATTTGATGAGAGAAGCTGAGATAGAGAAGGCTGCGCAAAATCGCGGATCGGCTGCACACGCTATAAAGCCCTTGCAGTTGGCTGATGATGATGATGATGGCCATTCAGTAGCATTAAACTTGAGAATTTTCAATAGAAATGGCTTACGGAAAAAAGTGCTCTTTTTTCCTGCATCATTAAGCAATTCATAACCATTGACTTTAGAGTTAGCATGAACGGATGCCATTCAAACTAATCGAAGTTATATAACTTCAATATTTTGTACCTCCGGTTTTCAAGAAGCTCTCCAGAGAAATCCACATATACAGCGAGCTTGAGAAATCTTTTTCGTTTTCATAAACGAAATTACAGTACAAAACCATGTCATTTGCGAAAGTTTCAACAGTTCTAGTGGAAAAGTAACGATTTTGAAAGCCATTATATTGTGAGCGTATCAAAGGGCTAATCTATGGAAAATTTAAAATTCAATAACTCGGGAATGGAATGAGTTGTAAAGATGAAACTTTCTATTAATATCATAAATTTATAGAAGAGCCATGGAAAGAAATTTGAGCTCTTAATAATTTTTCTGGACGGAGATATAAATTGTTGTACTTTTACTATTTGTATTTAAATTCAAATATCTACCTCGCTGTTGTTGTCCGCCTGATAGCTGGCCACTCGATGTTGTCTTGTGATTCTAAAAGAAAGAAAGAAACTACAACAATTAACTCGGGTTAGCGAGCTAAAAATTCTGTTCATACTTCAGGTAGTTTCATTATAAAGTCAAGAGCGTTGGCCATTTTCGCTGCTGTAATGCCTTCATTATGCGAAGCATCCATCTTTCCAAATCTGATGTTTTCTTCAATTGATCCAGTGAACAAAGCAGGTTCTTGTGAAACAATACCGACATGTGACTGCAGCCAAGCAACTTTCAGTGTACGAATATCACGACCATCAAGCAATATTTTACCGTGCTCAGGATCATAGAAACTTTGAAGTAGTTGAATAATTGTACTTTCTAAATAAGCGTGTAAATGAATATTCAAGCTAAAGAAGAATAAAGAAATAAACTTACTTCCACACCCTGATGCGCCTACAAGAGCAACAGTTGTTGTTGATGGAATTTTCATGCTGATGTCGTTTAAAACCTGGATAGACAGATATTCTTCTTAGCTGACAGAAGGAAGTCAAGAATAGCACTTACAGCAGCGTCCTTTCTTGCAGGTAATGCGAATTGAACATTTTGAAATTCAATCTCTCCTACAACAATTTCTGGCTTTTGATCTAACCGGTTAAAGGCATCAATTTTTGATTCCTTGAAGGTCAAGCATATACAAAGGATTAGAGAATACGTGTGCAATGTTTTCAGAGATACCCTTTTGATAATTTCAAAGATATAACTGGCAGTTCATGTATTACGTAGGTAAGTTACCAAAAACAGCGATTCGATTTTCGTATTTTGTTGTATCATAGAAAGACGGCGAAAATAATTGGTTTTGGCGACGTGATGTCTGTATTCGCCCGATTTTGTATATTGGGCATTAATTGAGAAATGCTCGTTATGGATTGATTGCAAGCCACAAAAACCTTGAATGAAAAGTGAATGAAATTAATTATTTGAGGTGTAAATTCTTCCTTTATTTCAAGCACGTGTGACGTTCTCGAGGTTGGAGATACGTTGAGACAAATCAAAATATTAAAATGCAGCATAAACGGCCCAGCTCAACTTCTGTCATAGAACGCGAGTTCCGTTCACTAACAATAAATCAGCCGCGCTGTTCTTAACGCCATCAAATTAGGAACTTAGGATGCGATCATGCAAGATTTATGTTAGCGAAGCCGTCAAAAATAATGAAACGCGTAGAACGTAGATGTAGACTACATTCTACGCGTAGAAAAATCTATACGTAAAATATATTTTGCTACGCCAGATATAGCTGAATATCGTCCTCTCATCTTTCTTTTTCTCTTATTTTCTAGAAAGAGAAAGAAAATGAAAAATCTGTTATAGGTACAGAATGAAAGAAATTTCCGTTTTCTGTTATCAACTGCATAATTCAATTTAATCTAAAGCTGAATGTTATTTTCTGACGAACGAAATGGGGAAGAATAAATTTTATCTTTTAGCCGAGATGTTGATCTACTCTTCTGCAGAAGGAAAATATCGCTTGTGATGAGTTTAATTCAAAATCGCTCAACTGTCCTACATTCTGTCCACTTAACGAGTCAAAATTAACTTGATTAGAAAGTATCGATCTGTATAAGTCGTATAAGCTTAAAGTACACCTGTTGCACATCACATTGAGCTATTTTTTGGAAGTGGGTACCGTCTAGTTTTTGAGATACATGTCTGTCAGTATCGGCGATTAATGGTTAAAAAGTCATGGTTCTTTCGTATTCGGTAGTTAGATAAACACTTTTCGACACCCATGACTTTTCGACTTTTTCTCCGGGTCACGATAGTCAGAGATAACGTGTTTGCAAATTTTACTTATTGGGTAATCAGATTAATTTTTTGGAAAAACAATAGAGTACTCTACTTTTTATACTGCTTTGTATATTGTTGTTTGTATAGGTACATAGAACGATATTTCTGTTTAAAGAACAAAATAAAGGGAGGTAGACTTTCATATTTTTATTGACATCTTCATTCATTCCGTGTTCACAAGGAGAGTGCTGGCTGTTAGTCTATATTCTGCCCAGTTCGCGAATTAAAACTAAAATAACTAGTGATGACCTTTTTCACTTTTTATACTAATCTGAAGCACACAAGTTGTACTATGTATTGATATATTTTCGACAAAAAGGTCTCTTTTATCTTTTAAGATATAGAGCTGTCATTATACAGGTTAACATTAGTAAAATGTATGGATTTTACCTTAATTCCGAAATTTCACGAAGTTGGAATGACCAACATAACTTTCTTGATCATCTTTTGGAACATTGTACTCCGGGTACCTTCGGGTGAACTATTCTTTTTCTCGGTGAAACTACTGGAATCGAAAAGTGAAATCAATGCATTTTACTGGCTTTAATCTGTGATATTGACACCTCTGTATCTTAAAAACTAAAAGAGACCTTTTCTAAAAGACAAAGCAATATATAGTACAGTCTGTATACTTCAAATCAGTGGGAAAAGTGGAAAAGAGTCTTCTCTAGTTATTTTAGTTTTAATCCGCGAAGTTGACAGAATGAGTACAGAATTAACTTACACTTTATTTGCTAAAGAGAAAAATTCTTCTCTATGGATGTTCTGGGCTCTTATAAGAAAAAGAACCACCCAGGCAAACTTTTTCTGGCAGAAAAACACGTCGATATGCGTTAATTTCTAACGTGTTTATCAGGATGCATTTTGACCGTTTCATCGCGTTGAAACGCGTTAGTTTTTAACCCGTTTGTATTCGGTGAAAATCCATTAAAAACAAAACAAAAGAAAATTCAGCATCATATTAAATTATGGTACATGTCTGGATGTATAGATACGCATACAAACGTACAAACATGACTTTGTACTTACATGACTTCAGTGTGATTCGAACGTGGGCACCCAGAATTAAGAAGCAAACACATAACCATCTGAGCTAACAGACGATCGAAACATATGCAGTAACAATGCTATATCTGTTTCGATCATCTCAGTTAGACAAAAGACATAGCGTTTGCTTCTTTATTCTATGACTTCTAAGTTTCATTTACAAAGTAAACAAATCTTTTCGCTCAGAATAAAGTATTTCCGCAGACAATTATCTCCTTTCTCATACCTAACTATGTGTTTGCGAGAAATGAAATAGTCTATCTGTTCTGTCGATAACTCCGTACCTCATAAAAATGCGTTAGATTACCAAATAATGCTAAACGAGTTGGTAATGAATGCACCTTAACGCGTTGGTGATTAACGCATCCGTTTTCTCTGATGCGTCGGATTTAACCGCGTTTATAGTACACGCGTTCATTTTCACCAAAAACGCGTTACCTGTCCAAACTAACGGGTTTCAACGCGCGTTGACTCAAAAAAAAGGCTTGCCTAGGCAGAATTAAGAAGAGCATGATCAGAGAGAATAAAATGAAACTCTCTCTTTTTAAAGTCAAAGAGCAGGATAACTATTATCTAATTTTCTGCCAAAATTTGTTCGTATTATTCTCCATGGAATAACTTAGTTTTTGCGCAGGTTTTTTCCTTATTCTGCCCATCTTCCCTGTTATGATTAGAAAAGATAATATCCAGTATATATACTTATGGCATATATATACTTCAAATGTATTCGTTTTTTAATAGACGTCATTCTAAGAGCAGACATGTTTCTGTTTTCCTGCTTAAAGAATAAAATCAGCAAAGAACAAATTTTTGTTGTTCATCTTTAACTGAAACACATAATAAAGAACGGTTGAATAAAGGAAAAAACTCATTTCGTTCAGCAAATAGATAACAACGTACACAAATGAAACTCAAGTGGGTCATATTGAGGTCGTTCTGCTTGAACAAACTCCAGAATATTTTGCAACTGTCCCAGAAAAACCGTACTGTTAAGCGTTTATGCTGGATTTGATGAGGTATTTCAAATGCCATTTCAAGGTTTAGAAGATGATGATATGGATAATGACAAACTGGCATGTTTGAAACGTATTCAATCAATGGAAATTAATCCGTTATCAGTTGTG